ACACCTACCAAAAACTTTGCCCATTGTTAGCTACCAGGACTTTCTAAAGCTTAATTACCTTCTTACTCATTAATTTTTTAATGCTGAAATTAAAGATTTTTAACTTAATTGCTGACACTGTAATTAGAATCATTAACTATAACTCAAATGCACAACTCTCTTTGGACAATCATGCTTGATAATGAGGTTTTGATAGCCAAGTGTGAGCATGTGTCTTTATGTCCATGCATATGTATCATGTGTATGTTTGCATGGGTGTTTTTTATTTGGTCCTTAATTCTTGTGCTATGCTGCTATTTCCTCTCAAGCTAATGTCAGAACAAATCTACATCACTTACCTGAACAGGAGAACTTAAGGGTTTAATTTTTGCTACAGATTATGTAGCTCACTGAAAGAATTGCAGTTACACTATTAAAAGGAAGGAAAATGTCTTATTTGTTCTTATTAACAAATTGCTTCTAGGAGACATGAACCATATGCTCCCATATCCTGCTTTACTTGTAGGTAAAAAATGTGTGTGTTATTCCTTCCCTTTTGGGGCATGTCTGTTTAGATTACCTCAAGTCTTCACTAAACAAAAGTCTAAACTTGCCCTCATTATTTTTATAACTTATCTGCAAAGTAAGTATCAATCAGGAATGAAACATTTCATCTTGTCATCATGAAAGCCAAGTCATTTCTCATCACAAAGTTGATGAGGATTTTCTTTAATATTTCTATTGCTTCCTCGTTTTTAAATTTTCTTTTTGAGAATTTCATGCATGAATATTATATTGACAACATTTCCAATTTCTTTTACATCAGATTAATCTCCTCTAGCACACTTGGAATGTAAGTTTGTGTGTTAATGTGAGCTATATTACTTCTATGTATGTTTAATATATTATTAATATATTTATTATATTAATATATTATTAATATATAGATATAGATATAGATATAGATAGACATGGACATGTATATGTATACATATGATTTCAAAATAAATTTCCTCTAATTTCATACGTCTTTCCTAGATCTAGACAAGTATAGATCTTGTCCCTCACTCTAAATCATCTTTCTATCATATTTTCTTATGTGTTCCCATGCTCCATATTTTTTGTCTCACCTATAAACCTACCCCCTTTCCCTGAATTGGATTAGAAGATGGAGTATGTCAGCATCTCCCTTCTTAGCTATGTGGTATCAGGTCTAGTCAAGTGAGGTATCTGGAGGGACACTCCAATGCATTGCAAGAGGAAGAAGCTTTTCTCCCTGTCCTTTAGTGATTCCTCTCAGGCAAAGCTTCTAGGACTGGCATGCTATGAGTTTTCAGTCACCAGGAAAGGTAGTCCTAGGAGACACACATCCCCTCACACGTTTCTTCCTCAGCTGCACCTTGGGCTTCCTGAAGCTGCTGAATGTTCTTCACTAAAATCTGAGCTCACTGCCTTGGACAAGGGAATTCTTTTTTTTTTTCACATAACATAAATGTTTTATTGGAATATCTAAGAAATTTTCTATTCATTTTACATACCAATCACAGATCCTAAAGCGTCCTCCTTCATTCCCGGGTTCAAATTGCTTATGCATTCTGTTGTTTTCTATTTCTTTGCTCTCAGTGCTATTTTAGCCCTTTCAATGCCTAATAAACCTTTTAATAGTTAATAATGTTTTGTGTTTATTTATTTATTTATTTATTTATTTATTTATTTATTTATTTATTTATTTATTTATTTTGGTTTTTTGAGACAGGGTTTCTCTGTGTAGCTTTGCACCTTTCCTGGATCTCGCTTGTTTTGTGTTTATTGTCCTGCTCATATTCCTAATATAGATACTTTAAAAAAATTATGTTTGGAATTGAAATAGAATTCCATCACTTTCCGCTTCCCTCTCCTCCATCCAGCCCCTCTCATGTACTCTCTCCTCAACATCTCCCATATGCCTAAGATACATTTACAATAGCCTCTTTTAGTGTCCTTGGTTACATACACACACATATATATGTACACAAATATGTTTGTGTAGGCATGTGTGTATGCAAATACAAAGCCTGCTATACATCTATTTTGTTGATAGTGTGTCTATAGTTTCAAGGCTGACCACTCAGGATTGGACAGCCAGTAACAGCACTGATCACTGGGATCCCAACAGTCTGCAGTTCTTTGTCTGTAGTTATTGTCTGTGGGTGAGATCCCAGTAAGTTTGTCCCTTACTTTGAGTAATATGCTCATTGATATTTCTATTGTGGACACTGACGATATAGTACATTGCCATTTTTTGGTTTTGTGATTAATAATACTTCCTCCAAAGAAATTAATTGTGACTATTAGTGAACCAAATACACAAATGAAAACACAAAGTTAGAAATCTTATGAAGAAAATATATGAGATTGTTTGAGGATAGAAGCATTAAAGGACAGCTTTTCAGGGAGTTTGTAAATGACGATTTCATTTTGCAAAATATTTCCATAAGTATTCATAAAAACACATAAGAACACACACACACACACACACACACACACACACACAGCCTTAGGACATGTGTGCCCTCAAATACACAAAGAAAACTAAAACAAAACCTGATATTTCCTTTAAATGTTACAAAGTATAAGTACACTCAAGTCAATCTAAATTAAATGCAGTTGGAAATGTGAGCACATTTTAATATTTATTGTAACATGCAAGGATTTCACCAAATAAGAGTACATTTTAATCATACTAAATAGTTTTTTCAATAAATGCTCTTGGGTTCTATTCACTGATGAGACCAAAGTATTTCAAGTGAAATTCAGATTCATTTAAAAATCGGTCTGTTCTTCATGGTTATATACTTAACAGTAAATTTTTTATTATCTCAGTGGAAGTGAAAGAGTAATAAAATATATTATCACTACTATTTTAAAAAATAGTAGTTTAAAAAAACACTTTCACAGAGTTTACCAGAAATAATACAATTGTGCTTTCCTTTCTCTCTTACTTTCCTCCTTCCATCCCTCACCCACTTCTCTGGTTCACTTTAGAAACAGAGACTCACACTGTGTGGGGCCCAGAATGGCCTTGAGTTTGGGACCTTCTTATCTCCACTTTGGAAGTACTGATGATACATGTGAATGCTACCACACTCGCCTTTGACCCTGAGTATTTTTTCCTAAAAATCCCCAAACACAAAACATAAGCTATTAGAAATTGATTATAAATATATATGTTATTCATTTGTGAGATTTTTTAGGTAAAAAATATCCCCTTTAAAAAATCAAAACTTTCATTACAATAACTTACTTCTTATATTCATAATACACTAAGTGTAAACATTGCAGAATTATTGATATCTGGTCATTTCATAGAATTTGTCTTTGCATTTTAGCTAGTAGTACAACACAAATCATATGCATATTATGCTACTGGCTTTTCAATATAGTGCTTCATAAAATTTTCCCTTTCCCTGTTTTCTCTACATAGAATTTAAATATTTATTTACATATTTAAAATTTGTAGACATTTACTAAAGGTAGCCTCACTAAAACAAGAAGCATTTTTAACACAAACTCATTTTACAACCAGCCTATGAGATTTGGGTTATGTATTGCTACTACATAGGTATGTGACATCATTTCAAGGTCCTGTCCACTTTCATTGATCTACATAACATGACAGATTAATATTTCAGGTCAGGAGCTCAGGCACAGTAGTTGAGCAGTAGAGCTCTGAAGTCAGTCCCTAACAGTGAAGAGAAAAAAAAAATCAAACAATAAAAACTAAAGCAGGTAATTGATGGACAGAGGAAGCTTAGGTTCTACAGCATGTTTTCCTGTTGCTCCAAAATTGTCCCTGTGTCTCTCTCCTATTGTAGAAAAAGAAGCCTTTCAATTGTCACTTTGAAAGAATTTGAAAGACTGCACCATTTTTGTGTCAACAGCTTGCCCAAAAGTGACGCTCTTCCCTCAGCCTCACGACCTGTCACCCTGTCCACCATTCTGGTCATAGAAGAAATTAATTGATGTAGAAGGCTCGTTCTGATGGGAGAGAAAGCAAATGATTGTAAAGGTGGTACTTCTGTCCACTCCCAGAAGGCAGAGAGATCATAATAAAATGGGAAGAGATGACAAGGGTGGAAGGACTGGACACAAACCAACAAAGCCATCCCTTCTGATCTTCATTCCCTGGAACTTAAAGTGTTAGGGTCTTCAGTAGAGAATGCCTGAGGACTGAAAGAGATTGTGAGCCTCCTAGTTGACAGAGAGGTAGCATGGGAAAAGAGAGGTCCACATTGGGGGGGGGGGGAGAATCAAGGCATTTATCAGTTGGGAGATATGGCATAATATGACATGGCAATAATGAGAAAACATTATTTCAAGAAAATGTTCTATTACAGAGCACTGTAGTTAGCCTTGGAAATGGAGGGATGACTACTAACATTTTTACACATTATTAAGAATTTATCTTACCCCACCAGTTTCTCTCTAATATATATCTCATTTAAAGAAATACAAATAGCATCAATTCAACAAAATCCAGTAATTTCAACATTGTAGTTTTCTTCGGCTTGGTTTACATGTGCTTCTTTTGTGTGCAGACTGTACAACAAGGCAACCACTTTCCTCTATGACATGAGGATATCTTCATGTAATACCACCAATTGGTGAGAAGCAACTGCCTATGAAACTCATCAGGTCATATGGAAGTTGAGCAAATGCCTTCATTCCAGAACAACATCACCAATAATATAATTGTTTTACATAAATTGTAATTGAATGCAACATCACATCTAGGTAGGTACTTTAGGGGAGAAAAATATAAGATGTATATAATGAGCTCATTTAAACTTCCTAGCTGGACATGTGTTCCACAGAAAAAAAAGAAATACATCCTCAATTTTTTTTTCTCATGTGTCCAGACATGAAATATATAAAGAATTCTGTGACAATAATGATACATACTGACTCTAAATTACCACCAGTTTCCAATTGGTTAAGAAACATATTTGATATTTGAAAAACAATCAAACAAACAAACTCACCATATCTGTATCTGAGACAGGGCCAAAACTGGTCACGTAGATGTTAGTGAAGACTTCAGTAATACTGTCTAATACGAAAAGAAGAAATTGGACATAGATTTAAATAGTGAAATCTGCAAGAGAGGAAAGAGTCTGAGCACAAGGTGTGGTAAGGAAGTGAGTGATCGTGACAGTGTCACCTCACACTTTCCAAGCAATCTTCACAACTCACAGATGTTATGCCTAGAAGTACTTGTGCATTCCTCTTTGGAAGGCATGCTTGGTTAGAGTTTCTTTTGAAGGATTATATTGTTCATAATGAATAACTTCTTAAAAGCCATCTAAAGTAAATTAGTTGAACAAATTTATCATTAACACTGGCAGTAGTTCAGGCATATTATTTGATATTCTAAATTTGATGATTAAACTAATACTTCGGATTCATTTCAGGATGGCTGAGATTCGTAGTTTGCACACAAGAATAATTGTTTAGCTTACAAATCAATCTATCTTTCTCTAAAATAAAGAAAACAAACTGTTCACCATCAGAAATAAATGTGACCCATATATATATATATATATATATATATATATATATATATATATATATACACATATAATTATACTATACTATACTATACATATATATAGCCTTAATACTTAATAACATAAAAAAGCAAAAGCAAATAACTTGATTTTCTATATTGTATTAATTCCAAAAAACTTGGTCATTAAATTTCTTTATACCTGATTGAAATGCTAAGGTTCAAATGAATTGGATTCTAAAATTATGTAACCTATGAACTGTAACCTAATTAACAAAATTCATCAATTAAACAGGATTTAGATATTCAAATTTAAATTAAAAATTTAAGGACATCATTTATTTCCACCATCAGGGGCTTAATGTCATTGTAAAATTGCAATTCCACATGAACAATATAAAGGAACATTTCCCATCTAATAAGAGGTATTAATTTACAAAGAAGCAATCTATGCATATAATTTTGAAACAAGAAAGCATCCCTTTTCAACAAAAGAATTTTAATACACAAACTTTTAAAGAAAGCTTAAAATTTTTACTGCTCTGGGTGTTCTTTAAAGGACTTAAGATAGAATAATTTACATGTCAAGTCTATACCATAGATTCTTTGTAACATTCTTATGGTGTTTAGAGTGACGCCCAGTAAACTGAAACATTACCAAAGACCCACATGTACTGTGGTAAACTGAAACATTACCAAGACTCACACCTACTGTGGTAGACAAAGCCTGCTTTTAAAACCCAAGTAACCTGATTTCTGAATCTTCACACTGAACCCATACATTGTACCACAATGGATAATAGACTTGAGAATAAACATATATTCTTATTAACTATGTATTTCCATTTACTGTATGTTCTTTGTCAAAGCACAGTGAAAGTGCATCAATTCACATATTTATTCCACTTTATTTTGTATACCATTCCATTTCTTAAGTGGTATTTATTAACTCTATTGCTGTGAAATAATACTCTTGTACATTGTATAGATTTGTCACTCAAATTGGTTTAATAAAATGTAGATTGGCCACTAGCCAGGCAGGAACTGTAGGCAGGGCCTACAGGGTGCCAAGTCACATGACTAAATAGAGATACTAATTATGGGTTAATTTAAGTGTAAAAGCTAGTTAGTAATAAGCCTGAGCTAGCAGCCGAGCATTTATAATTAACATCAGCTTGTGTGTGGTAATTGGGAAGCAGCTGCCAGGTAATTGGAAGTTTCTGGCAGGACAGAAACCTCTCCATACACTATATTATATAGATACTTCAACATATAAATAAATCAATACAATTCTTTCCCTCTGACACCTGTCTGAAACACATACACAGGGTCAAGTTCCTGGGCATGCAACTTGTACAGAATACAAGATCCCATTCTTAGAAAAGTCCTGCACTTGATTTAATTTTTGTTCCTGCTCTCTCAGATTGTGGTGCTGACTTTTTTTTTTAAACAAAGGTCATGCATTTCCATTTTGGAGTGAACTTCTCAAATTATGTTATTATCATGGTTCTATCCTATATGTGTTATTATAAAAAAAAATTACAAAACAAAATTTAAGATTTTATTTTACTCGTATAATGCATCAGTCATGCATTTATTCACTACACAAATGACATAAATTTCAGATATTACAAACATCCAATTAAAATGTTTCAGGGAAGAGAAATTACAGTATTAAAGAGGTTTTGCATTAACGAGAGAAAATTATTCCCCTTAGTATGAGAGGCAAAGTTGGAGAAGAGAGATGGCACAAATGTGCAAGCTAAAGATGTGAATAACGATCTCTCTTAAGTTAATGACAAGCAATGTGTAAAGGGTACTGTCAGCATCTGGTAGCTGTCAGGAGCTGCCAACTATAAGCAGGAAGGTGAAAAATAAGATGAGCCTCAGAACTTTGAGTGTATAAGAGAAGCCACAAAGATGGAAATAGACATATAAAGGGACCTGAATGAAAGGAAATGGATGTATGGTTTATGACCTCATAGTCCTTGATGAATAATATATGCACTAGAAGAAATCCAGCTATGCACATTGAGGAAAGGAGAAAGCCAGCAAGGCAGTATCTGATGTTGAGTGTCAAACAGTTATCTCTATGACATCTGAGCCTAGAAAATGTGGCTTGGGAGCATAGATTTGAGGATACTGATGTGGATGGATGTACAGAGGAACATAAAAATTAATGACATATTTTAGTGACAATGACAAACATTTGACACACAACAACTTTCCCAACTTCTATATCCAAATTGCAATGTCTAATTATGATTTGATCTTCTATAAGACAGAAGAAGAAAAAGGTATAGAGTAAAAGAGAACTGAGACTATATAGACAATATTATGTATGAACCATGTGACACTGGTTGCCAAAGACAGTCTGTAAGTTACTCCATGCTGTGTCTATGGATCATAACAGGGTAAAATTGTGTCATTTGTGTATGGGACAGTGTTTTGATTAATTAAATTTATGGATATCACAAAGTAAGCAAAGCTGGCTGGTAGAAACCTTGATCTTTGCATTTTAGGATCCATGTGTTGTCCTCTCAAGTCCTGGGTGGTCTTCATGAACAGCCTAAGTGCATCAGCCTTCACCCTGGCTATGATTGCTTCCCAAATTTGATGACTCTATCTAAATGTTTCTCCTCTCCAGTCATGGGTAGCTGGTGAGGTTTACAGTCCAAATAATGAATTGTCTCCTGTTGAGAAGACCTTAAGTCCAACTAGAAAGCTGTTAGTTACAACTAAGATAAAAATTACTACTAAAGTAGTATTGGTGGAATCTTGCTAGGAGGTTACTGATCTTTTTGAAGGCTCTACATGTGGGTAGAATTTTTATTTCTTTTCTTCCTTAGAAGCTTGCATAGCAGCTTTGGATATTATGAGAGCTAGTCATTAGGAAGGAGACTTCTAGCTCAGGTCTGGCTTGATACCTCCAAGTAAATATGTCACACTGTGGGCTATGTTCAAAAAGTAGAGGCTTCATTTAATGTTCAGGGAAGCAACCAAGTACAATGGCAATTCTCTATATTTGAAGTCTTTTGGATTTCCCTGATGAACAAATTAAGAGCAGGTTTTACAGACACACACACACACACACACACACGTTTTAATTACATTTTTTAAAAAATAGGTCCCCTATGTGTTTTTCAGATACTCTTAAGTGTTAACTATCTGTCCTTTCTCTTTCTCCCACTGTATTTTCCCCCTCTCCTCCACAGTTAAAGCCCCCCCATTTTTCTGCTTCCTTTCCATATCATCTATGTTCTAGTATAGCTTTTTCTCCCTTTCTGTTTCATAGTTCCTATAGTTACTTCAAATTTTATACTCATATCTGAAGATTTTGAGGTATGATTCATTAAAAAAAGTGGGAATATATGACAATTGTTTTTCTGAGTCTGGGTTACTCACCTAAGGCTCAGAGCAAAATCACAGGAGAGGACAGACATTATTGTAGGAACCAGAGAACCAGGTTGCTTGCTGGTCTTCTGAACATGACAATGCAGCTGCACCCATGAAGATTCAACAAGATGTGGACTAAATAAGACAGGCAATCAATAGCTACTAATTGATAGGTGAAAAATCAGTGGACTCCAGGGTCTAGCCGCATTTTTGTTTAGACAATCCCAAGTGGGATTTTTAGATGCCTGTTTGTTTTCTAATGAGGCAGAGCCAAAGAAGGTGTGTATTTTGATGGGTGGGTAGGAGGAGGTGGAAAGGATCTGGGAGAAGTTGGAGGAGGGGAAACCATAATCACAATATATTATCTGAAAACAATATATTTTTAAATTACAAATTTAAAAATAAATAAAGATTGATATCTAAGAGTAAAAGTAAGCAATGCAAAATGTCCGTGAATAATGTACATCATAGAAGAGGGGAAACATTGCCGGACGGTGGTGTCGCACGCCTTTAATCCCAGCACTCGGGAGGCAGAGGCAGGCGGATCTCTGAGAGTTTGAGGCCAGCCTGGTTTACAGAGTGAGTTCCAGGAAAGGCGCAAAGCTACACAGAAAAACCCTGTCTTGAAAAACCAAAAAAAAAAAAAAAAAAAAAAAAGAGGGGAAACATAAAAAGTTATAGTACTAAAACAAGGTCACAGTTACCAATGTCAAGGGGGGATCTTGGAAAAGATATACAAGTCAGTTTTATTCTTTCTGGTGTTCAATGGTGGTAACTACTCTCTAAGACAGCAAAATGCAAGAAAGATAATTCAGATGGAGGATTCCACATGCCAAAGTCAAATCCTGCAAACAGGTCAGGTTCATGAAGATCAGCATATGCAGCTGACTGAAAGAAACATCAACCAGAATAAAATGCAGAAGTTTGTGTCAAAAAGGAAGTCAATCGACTATAATTAGGAGAAGAAGGTCACTGTATTTATGGTGGCTTGGAACTGCAGGAAGAACTGGAATCATAGAGCAGTATCTAATTAGAAATGCTATGTTCCCTTTTTAAGTGTGGCTAAGCTGGGTCAGAGGAGAGGGCATAGATTCTAATCACTGTAAATGATGTTCGGACAAAAGAAAGACAAGAGACTGAGAACAGGA